TGGAAAGCACCATGGGATTTTAGGACTGGGTCCCCATCACTACAAGCGAATTCGTTCGACTTTTAAACTTTAGTAAAGCTATAGAAACCTTCTAACTGTATTTTAACTATAGTCCTTTGCTATATTATTGACTACAGATCTTCCCACCCGGAAAGCTAGCTAAGAAAAAATGCTGAAGAGTATGAATATTTGACTAACTGAGAAAAACAGAACCAGCCTATTTAAAAGCTAGTGAAATATTTTTGAAACCTTAAACATTACTGTTTTTAAACTGCTTTTTTTTTTTAAACCGGGCCGCTGCACATCGAACATTGTCTAGCTGGACCGCTGTGGATCGAACCTTGTGTAACAGGACGCCAAACACCAAACTTTGCATTTATTAGCCAACGGCTTGATCATTTTGAAAGCCGGGTGTTCGTACATTTAAAATTGAAATTGGCAAATTCACGAAATTCCCCGAATAGTGATGAAATAACCACGACACATTCAACAAAAAGCCCCCCCCCCCCCAATAACCTACTGGTACGCCCTTTTCCTTGATGACTCCGATTCTTTACACTACCTTAATCAACCGACACACACCTTGAAGACGTTTTCATCGTTCTTGCTGGTTACCATGTACATTCCAGCACCAATTATGTTGGGGCCTACGCTCTCTCCACCTTCCTCGATGACTACGACACTACCACCCTTGGCCATAGCTTTTCTTATAAGCGCTTCGTACTCCGCCACAGAAACCTGAAATTTTAAAAGAAAAAACAGGTAAAGGCCAAATGAACGGTGAAGTGGGAGGGTGGGAAAGGGTGACTTTACGCCGAACTAATTTTTCCAATTTTCCGAAATTTCCGAGTTGCGGGTCGTGGCATTAAATATCTCGGGCTATTCGAGGTTTCAAATTGTGTCAGATATGTAGTGATCTTAAGAAAAGTTGGAATTGAAAGTGTGAATGGATTGCTATTAGAAATCGTCAAACTATTAAATGACTCAATTTGTAAGAAAAAAAACTTCGAACAATTTTTGGCTGAGCCGTAGCGAAGGCTATTACTCCACTTATGGAAAATTCTCGTTACGTTTATACGGTTACACTCGTTTATTGGGACCATTCCCGGTTCCGTTTACGTTTATGTTCACTGCTACCATTACGGTTATGGTACGGTTAGTCAACCTTGTTATATAAATGTTTTCTCTCAGATATTAGATGGTCTCCGGTGCGTTAACTCAAAAGAAAACCCTGGGGATGAAAATTTGTGACTGTTCCGGCTGAGGGCCTATATACGACTATGCCGTTGGCCCTACACGGGTGTCAGCGCCACAGGCTTAGGTAGATGAAGGCGTAGGTGCGTTGCAGCGTAACAGTGTTTCGTGGGGTACGTATCCCGAAGCCTGCTACGCGAGGGGTGATGGACATCTACCTAAGTTTTAGGCCCAAGCTGCAACGTATCTTTCACATTTTCGCAGTCGCTAAAAGCAAATGAAGCATTCCGGGAAAGCTGAAATGCAGAAGAATGCGGGGAAGAAGTAAACGGAAATCGCTATGCTTTAACATGGTGACTTCCGTTTTCTTCATCCCCGCATTCTTCTGCATTTCAGCTTTACGGGAATGCTTTATTATCGACCACATCAGGTTTGATACACTACAGTAAGCTTATTTTACCAATAGCTCACCTCATCTTCCGCCCAGTTACAGCTCTTGCAGATCGTTTCATCCAGAAGAAACTGAGTCTTGTAGTAGTGGACAAGTGGATCGTGCAGATCAAGCGTTACGTCCTGAACGCGACAAGATACTTCTTTTCCGGCGTCGTCCTTGAAATTGTGACGGTACCAGACCGGGGCCTTCGTCCATGCCATGGCTAAATCACTCTGTAAACGAATTGATAACTTGTATATGTACCATCTGAGACAAGAAAACAAAAATAGCAAGACAATATGTTTTGATTCGGAACATTAAATTTATGGCCACTGACGAAGTGGTTTTGTAGCGCTTAGTTTGAGGAACAGCATGAGCACTTGCCCACTCCGATAGCATACAAAGTTTAGGAGCTATGTCCGGAAAACCATAACGGTGCAGAAATCCAAAATGGCGGACTTTGAACGCCCGTCACGGGTGAACGCATGGGCCGATTTTAGGGGAACTCCGTGGGAGTACTCCCACCCGGGTGAAAATACATGTACAGTAAATTTGTCAGAGTTATACAAGTAATTGTCTAAAGCTGTATAAAGGTATTTGTATTGCATTTGGTGATTTGGTAAAACTGTATCACTTTGTCAGTATTACTTTTTATAAAATATTATACAATATATTCTTGAGCATTTTAATCAACTCACAGAAGAAGAGGACTTGCTGGGTGGTTGTCAATTTCAGCGAACATGTTTTCGAAATCATGTTTTTGCCCTGAGCACGATAGTGGTGGTTACATTTCCCTCTGTGAAGCCGCTTACCAGTTGTGCTGCATTTTAGAACTCAACCACTTTTTGCCTAATTTTAGGGGCGTATGGCCAGGTAAGTTATTAGTCACTGTATGGGTGCATGTGACTGTATGCATTCTTATGTAGGGCAAGGTGCTATTTATTGACGTGTATATGGCAGTATAAATGCGTGAGATACAAAGATTCTGTGACATGCGTCGCTTTATATACGGCACGTGTATTGTATATACATTGTATTAGATTTTATAATAAAAACGTTTACATGCCTCTGTATATAATTGTATAAAGTTTTACCAAATATAGTACATATTTGTGAAACACCCTTTATATCGTTATATTACGGTGTACACAATCATATTCAATTTTATAATAGTCTATAAATTGTAATAAAATTTCTTAGTGAGTTGTATACAACTAACCGTTTAACCCAGAATAAAAATGCTAAATGCTTCATGAGCTTAACTCGTATGAATTTAACAGGACAGTGAACAAATCTTAACTTCATAACAACTTTTGGCACTGGTTTGGTGGGACCCGAGGAGCTCCAAACACCATTCGGCTTGAGACTTTCCCTACTGATAACACAAGCCGCCACTTGTCTGTTTGTGTGACTCCTTATCTATCTAGCCCGAGGTACGCGATGGTGGTGTTCCACCAGAAACTCGAAACGTTTATCGATAGAGTAACTGAATTACTGAAATACACAGAAATAAATCAAACTCATGAGGGTACAAGGGGATGGAGAGGAAACAACCGGCGCACCTGGGCGTGCACGGCAAAATTCGCGGCTTATTGTCTTTTGTTTGTGGAGTAATGGGCTTCACTAATCGCTATCATCTATCACTAAAAGTAAATGTTTAACACAAGAATCTGACTATACTTGCACATTAACTCGTCTTGGGTTTTGGGTATCAGCGCCGCAGGCCAAACTATATGTGCACCAGGACCTGGCGCCGCCAGGTGCGTCGCAGCGTACGTATATTTCGCGAGATATCGGTAAGCCTGTTACGCGAGACTTGGACTGGCGTACATATAGCTAGTATACACGAGTTGTAGACCCCTCGGCCCTCTGTCATATCAAATTCCCTTTACAATGAAAGGAAGGGGTTAATGTGCTGCTTCTTCTGTGGTTAGGCGGGTCGTCCCGTCTACAACTCTGGTTCAGAAATGAGTTCTGGAATTCACAACTTTTGAAATTTCTTTCAGTCTCGTCCGGGTGCTTTCCTCTTTTGCGCCTGGCGGGTAGGCAATCTTCCCTAAACTAATTGGTTTTCCCACCAAGAAGGGGAGCGGGCCTGCACTTTTCGAGCGTTTTTTGGGGCTCGGCTGCCGTGGCGAGATCGGGAAGCTGGCGGTAGGGTTGTTCGGTGTCGGTTTTTTCAGACCGGTTTTCGGTGACGAAATATACCGATTTTTAACCGAAATATCGGTTTACGGTATTAAACCGGTAACTTAAAACGAACCGGTATTCTTAAGTTAACCGGTATTGAAAAACAAACCGATATTTTCCAAAATACCGATTTTTTTGCATTTCAAAACGGTATTTCAAAAAATACGTTTTTTAAAATATGACAAAAGGTAATCAATTTTAAGGGAAAGCGGAACAGTGCAGAAAAATCAATCTTGGTGTTCATGTAAAAACTTCAACAGCTTAATTATAGATATTTAATAGATAGGGCGGGGTCCTACTCTCGGGCTTATGTATTTCTTTCCAGTTAAACACACATTGTACACAATTATTCGGTTAAAACCGTTCAACCGGTAATTCGGTAATCACCGAATTTTCGGTAAAAAACCGGATTTCGGTAAACCGGTTTTTACAAACAGGTCACCGGTTAATCAGTGACAGCCAAAATACCGGTTAAAACCGAAAAACCGGTTCACCGGAACAACCGTAGCTGGCGGCGCGGCTCCCCATTACTCTCCGGTTCGGCGTCGGCGCAACAACACCTTTACGTACGGCTCTGACCTTGGCAATCCGCTGGCGTTTTAGCTTGTTTCCGTCGTTAAAGGGGTCAGACCTGTGCAATGTAAGGGTTTACAAGAATCATCACTACTTAAAAACCACACGCCGCCGCATCGATTTGGGATTAGAGGTGTATTGAGAGCATAGATAGACGCTAATTTTGAAGTTGGCGTCGGTACGCACACTCTCCAGGAACATGCCGATCTTTGCCTTCAACTACAACGATGCAGTCCCTCCCGGTGTGCACTATTGGCGCAACGGATGGGTCTGCGACGGCCAAAATAATTGCTGGTAACTCTTATAGATTCAAGAAAATGGACAAAACAAATTTTCCAAGTTTTTCGTATTTAAGCTATTTTTTTGAATATTTCCGTCCCCAAAATGTGAAGAACCCCAAGTCGGCCACTAGGGGCATCTTTGAATAGAGAGAAAGTAGCATTTCTTTTTTTGGACGGTCGCAGACCAATCCGTCGCGGCACAATCGTGCACACCGGAAAGGACTGCATCATCCAGTTGAAGGTGATGATAGGCATGTTCCTTGCGAGGGCGCGCACTGGAGCCAATGGCAAAATTAGCGTATAGTTATGCCCTTAATACACATCTAATCGTAAATTAATGCGGCGAATTGTTTTTGTGGTGACTATTTTCCCATCCCTTCAATTCACAGGTCTGTCCCCTTAATCGACGTTATGTGCTCAGAGTAGCGCGGGTGATCGGGTAGCTGGTTTGCGCCGGCAAGGTTTATGGATATGGAGGTCCTTTTACGTATGAAGTTTCTTATCCTGATTATTTTCTGGGTCTAGTCAGTTTTTATTGGACTTGTCACCTGTGTACTTTTGTACTGTATAATGAATAAATAAATTTTCTCTGTCACCAAGTGCATAGTAGTGTGTACGGCTTTAGGACACGTGAATTATCATTATTTTCGATAAAGAATCCTAAAAGATTGGGCGCGGAGAACATTTGAATTTTTAAAAAAGAGCGGACACCCTAGCTCATCAGTTCAAGGGAGAAAAGAGTTTAGGAAGAACTGCTGTTTTTCTTTGGACCCAGTCATTTCAGGGTCTTTTTGTATCACTAGCTACATGTACGCCAGACCACGTCTCGCGTAACAGGCTTCGCGATATCTCACGAAACACTATTACGCTGCGACGCGCCTGGCGCACACATAGCTAGGCCTGCGGCGCTGACACCCGAGACGAGCAAATGGGAGGGTATAGGAGAACAGGGCCATCCGGGCCCGAAATTTGACATACTGAAACCATTTGTAGAGGTCTCACTACACTAAAATTAGGGATATGAAACTTCTGCTGTTCGGTAACGGTACTCATTAAAAGTTCGAATTTTGACAGATAGTTATGTAAAAATCAACGTTTTTGTGATACTAGATAATCTAGGGACCCTTAAACCCAAAAGAGGGTATGGTTCGACCCTTAATGTGTGGTTAAAGTATTTCTCCCTTTACAATTCTGTGACATGAAGCCTTTTTTACGATTTAATAGACCATTTTGTCTTTTTCACGTTGTTTTCGCCAAGAAATGCCCCATAGCGCCGAAACGGTACAAGGTAAAGCAAATCGGACGAAATTTTCGCCCGTAGGGTCCTAGCTCATCAGTTCAAGGGAGAAAAGAGTTTAGGAAGAACTGCTGTTTTTCTTTAGACCCAGTCATTTCAGCTGCAATACCCTTATTCAGGACCCTACCTTTCAAAAGTTGTCCTTGCTGCAGAATACGGTATTCGCTTTTGTTCTTCTCGTTGAAAGATTTACTGCATCAAAAGGTATATTTCAACCATTATATGTTTATTCACAATGCCGTACGGAGAAAAAAGATGCCGTGATGATCTGAAGAGAGAAACTAGACCTTCTATACTGCCGATAGAGCTCACTGCGGCCACACGAAGGGGGGCCTTGCCTTATATAATGCCAACATCAGCCGAACAGTTAAAAGGGGGGGGGGGCGGGGCTGGCTTCTCAAACCACGTGCGGGAGGCGGCCGCGTCCTTGACCTTGCGCCTAGCAAAGCAGCTCTCGGGTACAGTGCTCCCTGACAAAGGCACGCGCACGCCTCCCAGAGCCGGGCGTAGGAGGTCCCCTCCGCTGCGAACGCCATAGCACTGACCACCATTTACTCGCCTCTTTTCGGGAATGGTAGTGGAAAGATCTTCCCACCAACTCTCTTCCCTCACACACCCGATCAAGCACGACGCATCGCGCAGGCTGTTCTGCAAGAGTCCACAATCAGGAGGAGGTGGATAGTGGGGACCCTCTCAAGGCTCCGCCAATGAAGAAGAGCTGCACCAGTGTACAGCGCGACTTTGAGAGCCCGCACTGCACTGTACTTGCCTATCACGTCTTTTACACCGGTACACTAAAATCCGAATTCCAATACTTTACCAATGATTTTTGTGAAAAGTGTCATTCTGCGGTCTCCACCAGTACGGCCGAAGGGGCCTTCGGCATAGTCCCTAAGCGAGACTGTAAGAAAAGGGGGCAAAGTAATTCCTATTTTTTAGCCCGCCCTTCTGCTATGAAAAAGCTATCCGGCGGGCTTATGCAAACGACCTCGTGTCTGCCTGTGTGTCTTTCTGTCTGTATGTCTGTTCCACAGGAAGCAGATAAGCTAGAGACTTCAAATTTTCAGGGGATCTCAAGGTTCACTCCCACGAATCAAAACGCCTACGGCCATTCCTGCCAGCCACCCTTAAGGGGCTGAAAGGGGGTATCAAAGAAACCAGGAAAGGCCAAAAAAGTTGGAAAAAATACTTTGGTTTACGATTCTCTAAGGGGTAACTTGTGAAAGTAGAGCCCTCTGGGCAAAAATTTCGTCCGTTTTGCTCTATCTCTCACCGTTTGGGCGCTAGAGGGAGTTTCTCTCACACAAGTGGCCCAAAAATAAATTCTTCAATTGCCGAAAATATTGGATGGTCTCCTAAGGGGTAACGTGATTATGGGCGAAAATTTCGTCCGTTTTGCTCTATCTCTGACCGTTAACGCGCTAGAAGGTCTTTATAGACGAAAATAAGCTAAAAATTGCTGTAGTGAACTTTTAGTTGTAGAGGAAGGCCTCTAATTGCAAAGAGCACCCCCCCCCCCTTACAAAAGAAGTTTTTCTATACAGAAGGGTGGGTTGTAGTCACGGTGTGTCACCGTTACATTCCTCTCTCATGTCTAAGGGGCGAATTTTAATGACGACGCGGGTTTTAGCGAGCCGAAGGCCCGCTACATTATTTGATTATGTTCTTTAGAAAATTGCGTAAATGGAACGGTCGGGCCGCAGGCCCGAGTGTCGCCGCCGGCAGGCCAAGCAGGCCCGGCCCCTGCCGAACGGAGTTGCCCGGCGCAGCGAAGCGGAGCTGGCAACTCCGTTTGGCGGAAGGGCGGGCCTGCTTGTTAAGAAGTATCATGGTTGGGAGAGGGGGTAGGTAAACTTACAGATTTTGCTGCTCGCGCCTCAGGCACCTGCTGGACCGCCGGCTCTAGTACAGGCTCCGCATCTATGCAGCCGCTCTCTGCTCAGGGGTGAGCTGAACGGACTTCCCCTTCCCCTTACCGCGGCCGCCGTGGCCGTGGTGGTGGGGTTGTAACTTGTAATTGTTCTTAAATGTCAAAAAATTTAACCTGTTCACCTGTGTAGTGTTTCCAAATTTTAAAACATTCCATTGTGTTTTATTTGTTGTTTTATGTGTGTGTTAAAACAATTTTCCAGGGTGGGGGAGTAATGTGGTATCCCTGCCTTTTAGTTTTAAGTTTCATGTTGGCTACAATGGCCTTATTGGCTGAGCGATAGCGAAGCCTATTACTCCACTGATGATCAAAAAGTTTCGCGTCTGTTTGTGTGTGTGTGTGTTTGTTTGTTTGTCTGTACGCACGATAACTCGAGAACGAATTGAGCTAGCGACCTGGGATTTTCAGGGTCGTTTTGTGTCATAAAAAGACAGATCAAGTTCGAAGAAGAGCATTCTAGCTCAAAAATTGGATTTTTAAAAAATCAAAAACCACAGGTCCCCAAAATGACATTTAAAAAAAATATTTTTTTTATGTTTTCTAAGGGGTAACTCATCAAAGTAGAGCCCTTTTGGCGAAAATTTCCTCCGTTTTGCTCTAGCTCAAACCGTAGAGGCGCTAGAGGGTGTTTTTGACGAAAATAAGCGAAAAAGTGTACAACCATGCATTCTTAGTCAAAGTGACGGGCCGTTAACGGGCCGCAGGCCCGTATCTTTGTGTGCATTTTTGCACTACCCGACTCGGGTGTCAGCGCCGCAGGCCTAGGTAGATGTATGCCAGGCGCGTCGCAGCGTAACAGTGTTTCGTGAGATATCGCGAAGCCTGTTACGCGAGACGTGGTCTGGCGTACATCTACCTAGTTATTGTTCTTCTTGTTTGTATCCGGTTCCTCCTTCTTCAATAAATCTACCAAGATGGAAACCATGTGAATTGTGCTTTGAATCAATTATCCATCCAAATCCGTGAATGAATGAGAGACACATCAAGATCCAGCAGCAAAGCTGTTAATAATCAATATAACTCATTGTTGAGAAGCAGTGCAATTTAAGTGTATTTAAATTATGGTATAGACAACAGTATTCACCTACAGTTGGATTCGCACCTCTAAATGCACCTTGACATGCAAACTTGAATGCACCTTAACTACGACAAGAGTGCAGAGTGCACTCCATTTAACTACTATAACTAACACTGCAGTGTCTGAGTACTCTTTAACTCAACATAAACAACGCTCTTGAACTATGGATCGATCTGTAGAACCAACGCATAATGCGACAGCAAAGAAAACACAGTACAACTACAGTTTAAAACACAGTTCGTAACACAGTTTGCGATGCACCCGGACTTGAAGTTTTATTCGCATTAATGCAGAGTTTAAGTCCTCTTTGTATTGCAGTCTGAAATTATAGTTCGACCACTACAGTTACAACTTTAGTCAAACTATAGATCCTTCCACCCGGGACAATACGAGTTTTTGAGATATCCTCGATCTGTCTTCGGCATTGCTTACTTTAGACCTTTGCCAACAAAATATATGCATGCGCAGTGAACAACGTGCAGCGCTCATGGACCCAATGTGCACTTTGCACTTAATGTTGGGTCAAAATGTTGAGATTTTCTGCGAAATCAATTTGCAGCACGATTTTGGAACCATCCACCTGCTGTCTTAACGATCTGAAGAAGGTGCTTTGTCTCCTCTTTATGTAGAAATGGGTCAAGAAAGCCTAAATAAAGTACAGACAGAAAGACAAGATATTTTTGTTTAGAGATAGGGTAGGTGATACAGTTATGGGACGGTTAAGCGCACACTTTCGTTTGACGCA